AAATCACTGTTCACCGTATTTATACGATGAACAGTGCATACGGTATAGGTATGTGGGTGTAAGAATGGGTGTCAAGATAGCAAACTTGAACATAATATAATATGTTGCAACTTAGTTTAACATAATACATTGATATGTTGAGATGAAGCTGCTAATTGACATCAAGTCAACTCTCGATTTATCAAAACATTAAACCACTCATAGAAGAAGCAAACCCATTTAGAAGAAATTATATTTCTTAAGAGATCACGTAATTTGAATGAGGCAGAATTTGATGACATGAGAAAGCTAATAAGAATATAAGAATGGAGAGTCTTTCAAAAATGAATTAAGTGGTGAATTGAGTTGTAATCCTAATATAAAGGTAGTTAACCAAGTGTTTGTTAAGAGCTAATTAATAGATAATTGTTTGATTAAAAGGTGGTTAGAGTTAGTTGAGTAACTTCTAGCACAAGTCATGTGTGTATCAAGTTTGTTGAGACTTCCTCATATATAATCATTCAATTAATTAGCAACCAACTCTTAACACACAATTGGTTAACTACATCCAAACTATGATTACAACTCTGTTAAATATAATTCATTGTGATTTGATATGATTAGATTTGATATCATATGATTAATTTGATATGATATGATTAGATATCATATGATTAGATTTGATTTAGAATATTTTGGGCCTTTTATGTTTTGGGCTAGTGTAAACCTAAAACTATAAATAGGGTGCCTTGCTTTGTATTCTACATCACAACAGAACAGATTTCACAGTTGCAGTTAGCAAGTGAAAGTTCAATAAGAAATCCCACAGTTGTGGGTAACACATTCTCTCAAAATACTTCTTCTCTGATTCTTCTCTTCTTATTTGTTCTTCTTTTCTTTTGATGTTCTTGATAATTATTTGTTATTACCATTACTATCATATTGTGGGTTTGTTTATCAATCTTGAGATCAAGATTGAAGGGAATTCTTCATAGGGTGTGAGGTGAATTTCCAACATCTGGTATCTAGAGCTCTGGTTGAGAGATTCAAGGAAGGAAAATAGTGATGGCGATGAACTATCTGAACGGAAACTTTCCGGCGACCCTGCCAATTCTCAAGAAAGACAATTATGAGAATTGGTGCAAGCAGATTAAGGTGATTTTCTGTTATCAAGATCTTTGGGATGTTGTGAAAGATGGAGTAACATCGCTTGGGGAGAACGCAACGGAGGCGGAAAAGGCTACACACAAAGAATTGAAGAAGAAGGATTATAAAGCACTCTTTATAATTCATCAGTGTGTCGATCCTGATAACTTTGAAAAGGTTAGTGATGTTGATTCAGCAAAAGAAGCATGGGAGATTCTTGGAAAGTCGTTTGGAGGCGCAGAGAAGGTGAAAGAGGTGAGGTTACAAACTCACAAGAGAACCTATGAGTTGCTTCAGATGGAAGACAACGAAAGCATTACAGATTTCTTCACCGGAGTTACAAGGTTGATGAATCAAATCAAAGTATGTGGAGAAACGCTGACGACGGAAGCAGTTGTCTCAAAAATCTTGAGATCGTTGGCTCCAAAATTCGACCACGTGGTAGTTGCCATAGAAGAGTCGAAAGATCTGTCAGTGTTGACGAAGGAAGAGCTTCAAGGGACTCTTGAGTCTCATGAACAGAGGATGGCTGAGAGAGCTGCAGGAAAGTCGAAAGATATGGCTTTGCAGGCGGAGTCAGAAAAGGAAAGAAAAGGCAAAGGTAGCTGGAATGGCAACAAAGGAGGAAACCAGTCGAATCAGAAGAAACCTTGGAACCAAGGAAACCAAAGAGGTGGTGCTGCAGGTAAAGGAAGAGGTGGTGATCGAAAGACAGACAAAAGCCACATTCAATGTTTCAATTGCCAGAAGTATGGTCATTATGTTAGTGATTGTCCAGAAAGAAAGAGAAATCAAGAGACTGATGCAAAGCTGGCGAAACATGAAGAAGAAGAAACGTTGCTAATGGTCACAACAAAAGATGAAGAAAGATTCCAAGATCAGTGGTACTTGGACTCAGGATTCTCATCACACATGACTGGAAGGAAAGATTGGTTTGTCAACATGAAGCTTGCAAATGACAACACTCTAGCAGCTGAAGGTGTTGGCGATGTTCTGATTATGAGGAAAGATGGCAAAAGGTCAACAATTTCCAATGTGTTGTACATACCAGGCATGAAGAGTAATTTGCTCAGTATAGGGCAGCTTGTCGAAAATAACTACAAGGTAGTTTTCGAAGACAAGATGATGAGAGTCCTCGACGCAGGTGGTAGACTAATCTTGAAGGCTCCAATATCTCAGAATAGGACCTTCAAGATTGGACTCAATGTGATGGAGCACAAGTGTTTAGCAACTGCAGCCACTGAAGTCGAAATAGAAGTTCGACAGGAACCAGTTGCAGATGAAGCAGGTTCAAGCAGACCTCGACGAACTAGACACATGTCTGCAAGGTTGCAAGAATGTGTAATCACATCAGATGATGCAGTCGATGAAGAGGGTGAGCTGGTACGTTATGCTTTCTACGCAGATGTCGAACCAGTCAATGCAGCTGAGGCATTGAAAGATTTGCAGTGGGTGAAAGCAATGATTGAAGAGTTAGAGTCCATCAAAGTCAATGATACCTGGTCACTTGTCGAATTGCCGCAAGGCAAGAAGGCAATTGATGTGAGGTGGATTTACAAGGTGAAGGTAAATCCTAAAGGAGAAGTAACTCGACACAAATCGAGACTTGTGGCGAAAGGATTTCTTCAGAAGGAAGGAATCGACTTCGATGAAGTATTCGCACCTGTTGCTAGAATCAAAACAATCAGGTTGGTTGTTGGTCTAGCAAATATGAACAACTGGCACACATGTCAGATGGACGTGAAGTGTGCATTCCTTAATGGCCCCTTAGAAGAAGTTTATGTTGCACAACCAGCTGAGTTTGTGAAACATGGCGAAGAAAGAAAGGTGTACAGGCTTCATAAAGCCCTGTATGGACTTAAGCAAGCTCCAAGAGCTTGGAATAAGAAAATTAACAGCTTCTTAAGGGAGAAGGAATTTGTGAAGTGTACAACTGAGCATGGAGTATATGTAAGAAGAAGCAATGGCGAATTGCTTATACTATGTCTCTATGTTGATGATTTGTTGATAACAGGGAGTTCCAAGAAGGAGATCGAAGATTTCAAACATGACCTGAGTAAGGAGTTTGAAATGCCAGACTTGGGAAATCTCTCATATTTCCTTGGCATCGAATTCTACAAGACAAGTAGAGGTTTGATGATGCACCAAAGAAGATATGCAGGCGAGATACTCAAGAGATTTGAGATGCAAGATTGCAACCAAACTTCGACTCCAGCTGAGCCAAGATTGCAACTGTCGAAGGATTCAGATAAAGATGATGTCGACCCAACCCAATACAGAAGACTTATTGGGTCACTTAGATACCTTTGCCACACAAGGCCTGACTTAGCATACAGTGTTGGTATGATAAGTAGATTCATGCAGAAACCAAAGGTATCACACCTAGCAGCGGCGAAGAGGATACTGAGGTATCTGAAAGGAACTCTCGACTATGGCATTTTGTTTCCAGCAGCTGATGAAGGAAAAGAATGCAAGTTAGTGGGATACACAGACTCCAGTTGGTGTAGTGATGCTGAGGATCGAAAATCCACAGCTGGATATGTGTTTATGTTAGGTGGTGCACCAGTTGCTTGGAATTCGAGAAAGGAACCAGTGGTGGCATTATCATCATGCGAAGCAGAATATATAGCTGCTTCCCTTTGTGCATGTCAAGCAACTTGGATGGTGAACTTGGTCGAAGAAATCACAGGGAAGAACCATGGAGCAATTACCATGAAGATAGACAACATGTCAGCTACCAACTTGGCAAAGAATCCAATAACTCATGGTCGAAGCAAGCACATCGAAATGAGGTTCCATTATCTCCGAGAGCGGGTAGCAGAAGGGAAGATGAAGTTGGAACACTGCAGAACTGAGAATCAGATTGCAGATGTCATGACGAAGGGAGTGCAGGTCGAAGCCTTCAGAAGACTAAGGGCCATGATGAATATAGACAGTTTAGACACAATGAATTAGGTGGTGTGTTAAATATAATTCATTGTGATTTGATATGATTAGATTTGATATCATATGATTAATTTGATATGATATGATTAGATATCATATGATTAGATTTGATATCATGTGATTAGATTTGATTTAGAATATTTTGGGTCTTTTATGTTTTGGGCTAGTGTAAACCTAAAACTATAAATAGGGTGCCTTGCTTTGTATTCTACATCACAACAGAACAGATTTCACAGTTGCAGTTAGCAAGTGAAAATTCAATAAGAAATCCCACAGTTGTGGGTAACACATTCTCTCAAAATACTTCTTCTCTTCTTAATTGTTCTTCTTTTCTTTTGATGTTCTTGATAATTACCTGTTATTACCATTACAAGATTGAAGGAAACTCTTCATAGGGTGTGAGGTGAATTTCCAACAAACTCAACCGTTAATTTCCGCAATATATTCACAAAAGCTAATTTTCGATGGATTTGTTTTTGAAAAATTGTCATTAAAATTTGCAACTCGAAAGTTTGAGCTGCAGAAAAAAATCCACCGAAAATGTCTTTGCGACAGTTTTTAACAAACCATAATACATGTTTTCCTTGCAAGGAATAGATAGAGAAAATGGAACATATTGTAAGGGTTTGTCTGTTTATAAAAGGATTTGAATCTGCAGCTAGTGAGGATGGTTGTATCTGAATTTAGGTAAAAACATTATATTAAAAAGTTGAACCAAAAAATGGATAGAATACTGAAAGAAAACAAGGAATGGATAGACTAATAGTAACAGTAGTGAGATACAAAATAAGTGCCTGGATTAATACAAAACCTCCCCTGAAATGAATGTCCCAAGAATACAAACAATGTAATAAAGTCCCATATCACATCACAAAATAATATATATAGAGGTAAAAGTAGCAATCTGCTGTCTGAAGAGATAGGTATATCTAGAACATCAAGGATAGGAATGCGCATCCAAATACTAAACCAACCATCTTCTGTGACAACAAATTCTCTGCCCCACTCTGCAAGAAATGGCCACAAAGTTTATTAGTTTAGCAACTCATACTTTCTAATTAAATTAAATCAATTAGCATTGATCGAGTATAGTATATATAGAGAAGCGAACTTACATCATCGTTACCGGCGGGAGTGACAGCCGGAGAGAGAGAAGAGAGACCGGGCCCCGGAGCGGGAGCTTCTGATGGTGTGGATACGGGTGCCACTGTGGGAGCTTTACTCTTAAGCTTGGCAGGAGCTGGAGCTGGAGTAGTTGCTGGAGGAGATGAGAGGGGAGTGGGTGTGAGTGCTGGAGGAGGAGTTGCGGGAGGTGGAGTGGCAGGTGGAGGAGAGAATGGAGGAGGAGAGGCAGGTGGTGGTGAAGCAGGTGGAGGGGTAACTGGAGCTGGAGGAGGGGAAGCAGGAACAGGTGGTGGAGTGGATACAGGTGGAGGAGAAGATTGAACCGGTGGAGGAGATTGAGCTGGTGGAGGAGAAGATGGAACTGGAGGTGGAGAAGACTGAACAGGTGGAGGAGAAGAAGACTGAACAGGAGGAGGAGAAGACTGAACAGGTGGAGGAGAAGCTTGAGGAGTGGTTGGTGGAGTATTAGCAGGAGGAGTAATAGGTGTAGGTGGTGCTGGAGAGGTGGTTGGACTTGGAGGTTGTTGTGCTCCTACAAATGCAAACACAGCGCAGATCAAAGCAACCACCAAAACTATATTTGTGGCCATATTCTTGTGTTGATTTATTCTCTACGTAATACAATGTATAATATGATTATATAAGTCACAATCTCAAAACAGAAGAGATTGCGGTGAAGAGAGAGTTAAGAGTTTGCTGGGGGGAGAGAGGTTAAATAGGTAGAGAGAGTTTAGATTTAGATTCTAAGTAACGCAAGGTTGTGTATGATGATGAGAGTTGTTACTAGCTACCAAACATTTCCAGCTTAATCTAACTGTGATATAACTTCTATCCATGTGTGGAATGTCACAAACGTGGATCCCACAGCCTTAAATTAATTCAATTCATTATTTCACTTTTTCTAGCTCAAATGTCAATTCTGTGCTTTTCATGGATTAGCAAGTTTTGCTTAACCAATTTTTTATGAGATATATTTGCGTGTGTGAGAACGTGGGTCATGTGTGAATTCTACGCTAAGTTGTGAGTTAAAGAAGCCAATAAGAGAGTACTGGTTGGTGAGGTGCTGGCCAGATACTTTTGTCGGGTCCTACTCACCTCTCTGTCGCAGAGAAATATAGGATGCATATATTTTACTGAAAATCTTTAAATAAATATTACTAGTTTATTGAATGATTAACAATGAGTAACAGCCATGATCTAAGGTCCATGCATTGGATATATATATCCTCAAATGATGGTGGGGGCTTCAGCCTCTGCTGGCAATGAGTATGATTATTTGCATTCACATGTCTTGTTTTCTTTTGATTGAATGAAACTAGATAAGCAGATAAGCATCCATAGAAACGGTGCTGGGTAACGAGAAAAACCATAGGAATTACTTTAGGAAGACTTTGCTTAGAAAATAATCAACATTTCAAGTTTGCTTTAATTGAAAAACAATTTGCAATTATGGTAATGAATGCATTGTATTTATTGTCTTAAACATAGGCACGCTAATTAGGAATAGGAAAGTGATAGTAAGTGCTCATAGAGTATGCACTATTTGCTAAAGAAATAAATCCTACACTATAAGACTTCTTTTTCTTTATCTTTCATTAAGAATAATTTTAAAATTTTCACATGTATTAGAGTTGTCACAAGCAGATGAAGGATAATGTAGGTTTGAAAACTATGCTTAATGGTTTTTATTGAGGTTTGTTTCCTCTATAAGTAACTATTATACCAAATTTCTTTAACGTATTCTCGATTAGATGATGGTAAAGTGATTAGATTGAAAAGTGACATCATGGACGATTAGATTGAGAAATGACATCATGGACGAAGAAGTCTGGAAAATAGTTTTTGAGTTGAGTCATTTGACGGCGTATGACCAAATAATTTCCTTATTGTTTTCTAATCTAAAATCTTGGAAAGTTGTGAGGTGTAGTATATGTGATTTTGTTAGGCAAGTTTGTTTGACTCATAACATCTGTCTTATTTCAAAAGTAGATCATTCGAATTTCATTAATCAATTTTGTCCTATTTCTTTATTTCTTTGTGCAATATTCTCTACAAGATTGTTTTGTTAGTAAGGTTGTGAGTAATAAACTTAAAGAATCTATTTCAAAGTTGTTCCCCCTTATCAAATTAGTTTCATTTGTGATAAGAGTGTCTATGAAAATATTCTGGTTACTCAAGAAATTACCCATAGTATGGAAAATGTTAGTTGGAAGGTGAAATGTTTTTCTATAAAATGGACCTGCCAAGGCATATTATCGTCTTAGTTGACAACTTATTCATCAGGTGTTACATGAAATAGCGTACATGAAGCATATTATTAATGTGATCATGGCATCAATGACTAATTATACTGAAACTAATGTCAAATTGAATGGGAAAAGTGATAAATCTAGTTTTTATCGTTCTTATTGTTTAGTTGTGTCGTTTAATTCATTACGTTTACTTTGTTTTTGTTTTTACTTAGTTTGTGTCAAATTGTTCTAAGCAAGTCACTATTCCTATTCTTTATAAATAAGACAAAATCTTGTGAAAACACTCAACTTCATGATATCTTATCTTAAAAGATACTTACATTTTCCTTTCACCAGATAGTCATCCAAAATCTTTGACCAAAATCATATGAAATACATCAATCCCATCCTTAAAATTGTTGAACATGAGACTTCATACACAAGAGGAAATGAATTGTGGAGGTTAGAAAAATTTTGGTTTTAAAAAATATTTATAAAACCAGAGTTTGACAATATTTTGTAAAACAAATAAATAAATTGGCTGCAGAAAACCAAAGGAAAGAAAAATACTGGAAAGTAAAAAAGTTAAGGGATAAGAAGAACACCAGAGAATTATACAGGTTCGTCCTTAAGGTGACTTACTCTAGTCCTCAAGAATTATTCTTGAGAGTATCCACTAAACTTGAGATCCTTTAAAAGGATGTGCCTACAAACCTCTTTATAAAGGAAATGAAGTTTTCAGACTAACTTTAAACCAAACAGCAAATAGTGGCTTAAAGCGATTAGTTTCCAACTAAATAGCGGATAAGGCTTAGAGTGATTAGTCTCCAAGCCAAACAGAGATTTTGCACAGACTAATCTCGAGCCAAAACAGAGTTTTGATTTGGCTATTCTATGAACCAAACCAAGTTTTTATACAAACTGACCACAAACTATAATGAGATTTATATCAGGTTGATCTTAAACCTACCGAGTCTTTTACTAGGCTGAAGTCAGAAACCAAGTGATATTTTATATTGGACCGATCTCGAATCGATAGAGCTTTTAATTAGGCTGGTCTTAAGAACCGTTGTGCAGATTTTTTATGGACTGATCTTCATAAACCAAAAGAGAACTTTTAATATAAAGTGAAGCTCATGAACTAAACAAAAACTTCCTAAAACAAACCTCCAAAAATACAAGAGCTTTTAATTAGTTTAGCTCGTAATCAAAATAACCACTTCCTAGAGAATAATTATTTACACAAGAGAAAATAAACTTACAACTTTGCCCTCACCCAGAAAGATATCGTCAATTAAACTCAAGAACACTCTTGAAGCATTACGAATAAAAATATGTGAGAGAAAATGAGAGATGATGAGAAAAATGAAAAGTGAGGTTTTCCTATTTTTTAGATGTGAAAAAGTGATAGATAAGCTCTCAATTTGTAGGTAAAAAACATGGTATAAATTTGGAAGCAATCCTTGGACTTAATGAATGCTATAATTAATCAGGTTAATTGATTATCCAACCTAAATAAATGACTATTAAGGCCATAAATAGACTATATTTATATATAGTCTTTACCAATCATGAAAAGACTGTCCCAATCGGTTTTAGACTCAATTAAGTATGACCTAATCAATTAGGCAAAATATATAATCAATTATTTAGCTAGAAAATGTCTTCCAATCAATTACACATTCTCTTAATCAACTAAATAGACCTCAATTTTGTGGAGATTTAATTAAAAAATGAGAGGTTTCTCAAATTTTTTTAGTGTGTGTGATTTAACTATAATATTTTCAAAAATACCCTTATGTCTTTACAAGACATTAGTCACTCAGCCAGACACAACCATGTGAGCTTTCAAATTTCCTCTCTTTTACAACTATAAAGTTTCAAGTATTGACATATTTATCTTTGATTACAAGAACCTTGAGTCTTCTTAATGATGTTTGAGATATTTTTATGTTCAATACCATCATTTGAGAGTTGAGGGGTTAAATCACAATTGATCTTTGAAACAAAAAGCCTTCACTTAAAAGTTGTTGGACTATAATGTTGACTTTAAACAAATTTTCTGATTTTGAATTTAAACAAATGTTTTGATCTTCAAGAGCAAAGCTTCATTCAGGAGGATATCTTGATCAACCATCTTGTGCATCTTTGATCGCTTGAGTTATCTTCAGCAGTTTCTTGACTTCAAGTGTTGTCATCATCAAAACTGAACAACTACTCCATTATTTTGCTGCTTTGTTATCCATAAACTTCATTATCTTAGATCACTTTGACTATACATGTAAGTACATAGATCCATAAAAATATGATTTTTCTTGGAGACTCATTTATAATAAACTTCCTACATATGAAAACCAAACCCTTAGACGTTGTTACCTTCTATTTATGTGTAACTTGTGCAACAAGAAACCCGAGACTACCAAACATCTTTTCATGCAATGTCCATTTGCAGTGATATTGTGTAACTGGATTCAGTCCATCATTCAACAACATATCAACCTAGATTACATTCTCTCAATTATAAATGTGTCAATAGAGGATGACACCCACACAATGTAGTCTTGTAATTTCAAGCAGTGTAGAAATTCCATCATATTTCAAAATCATAAACCATCTTACAATTCAATTACTTTTCAGATCATCTCTTAGGTCTCATTGTCAAACAACTTAACCAATCTTGCAACTGGTCCTTATATCATAAACTTTATCATTCTCAAAGCCTTTCGGGTAAAAACACACAATCTTAAAGCTCCAAGAATCCTTGAAGTGTTTCAACAACTTTCAATTGACAACTATATTAAATGTTATACAAATGAGTCTCCTTTAATTAATCTTAGAAATTCAACTTATGCAAGTATATTTAAAAACACTCATGGATAGAATCTTAGTTGTTTTGCCCTCGATCTTAACATTTCAATTGCTTTTTTTTTTTCGAACTAATGGAAATAATTATGGCCATTGAATGTGCTTTCAAGACTAGCAACAATTGCTATCCCGTCTCCCACATTATCTCTTTAAAAGTTGAAAAATATGTGGTTTAACTGCCTAGACAAATTCAATCCTATGCAAATCATTACCTCTCTCATATTTACATAGAGAATGTAACAATTGTGCTAATAAACTAATTTATATAAGATTGTATATAGCATTATCTGATTTTAATTTATGAACTCACCTCTATTGTGATTAGAGCATACCTAGTTCGCAATAGACTAGGTTTCACTAATTTTAGAGCGAGTTTTTGTTGTTGTTTTTGTAAACAAATATTAATACATGTTAAATTTAATAAATTGTTTTATATTAATGAAGATAAAAGAAAAAGTGAAAATGGTTTTATAAATAATGAAACGGAAGGAGTA